CCGGAGGTCTTCTTTGTGTTTAATTAACTGTCCTGGAACCAGAATTTCTTGTTCAATCATAATCAAGTGTCTTGGTAATTGGACAAAGAAGAAAATAAAAATTCAATGGTAAAATGTTGTGGTTTAACTTTTGAGTTTCTGAAGTAATCCTCCAAATAGAAGATATTGTGGATATATTGATGAATTACTTAGATAATAGGAATGCATGCAGCAGTTGGTAGGGTGACCACTCATTTTGAATAAGACTTATTGCTACAATCTTGTTGCTGATATACTCTTTTTTTGTTGTCTTTCTTGTCTTTTTAAATCTTTATAAACAGTTTCATCCGGCCAAACTTTATATACTGGTCAATGGTAAGAAGTAGCAATGAAGTTGATGAAGAAGACAATAGTGTTGACAATAGTGATGACGAAGTTGCGGAGGTCTTTGTGAATGAGAATGGGGATAATTTCATGGAGGAGATGGGAAGAAGCTTTGATGAGCAAGATCTTGATCTTGACTATGCATTAAATAAGATGTCAATCACGCCCAATAATTCATTCAAGTCCAGGTTTGGAGTTCAATCACAGGAAATTATGAGAATGCCTTCAAGGATTAGACCCTCCATGAGTCCAGAATCATTGTAGTTATGGAGTGTTTTAGTCTTATTACCATAAAATGAGAGGAGAAAATGATGGCTTCAAACTATCAAGGAAGAGACTGTCAGAGTGCTAGGTAGACAAGCAGCAGAATTCAGGCAATGGCTTTGGTTGAAGAACATAGTTGTTCATCTAACATTAGATTCTTCTTGTAAAAATTATCTAGTAATGCAAATAAATTTTGATAGTAGTGATGTTTAATATATCTTTTTGTGAGTAGCAAAAAATGTTATGAGATTGTTGTATGAAGATACTATTATTAAGCCAAAAATTGGGGTTATACACGCAGGAGTCTAGTTTTAAGTTAATTCATTATTTTTATTTGATTTTAATAAACCATTAATTTTATTTATATTTATATTTATTGAATTATATTAAATAAATGTATAATTGAAATATAAAATTCATGTTAAAATGCACAAATTAGTTAAATCCTATAAAATTTAACAACTGCAATTAACTGATACATTTAATATTTTAAATTAATTATGAAAATAATTGAATTAATTTTATAAAGTATTAAATTAATTATTTAAATTTCTCTTTTTTATAACGTGCCTGTAGCATCGAAAGATACCAGATTTTATGTATAAAGAACAAAGTAAGATAATAATAGTGATTATTTACTTTTATATATTCGTAATTTTACTTTTTTTCACTTCTATTTCCTCCCTATCAAAACAATATATATATATATATATATTTCATTTTTATTACTATTTTATTCAAATAATATAGACTATTTTTTATTTAATTGTATTAATTTTCATTTTGTCACTTCGCGTTAAATTCTTTTAACCCTTAAATATACAGACGTATACATATTTTGATGAATAATATACGGATATCTCTTAATTGGCTCTTGTCCTCCTAGAAGTAAACGGGAGTCACAGAAAAACTCAAGAGACAAGGAAGAACGCCAGGAGAGAACGAAGAGATGGGCGGTGCCGGTGCCATTCTCTCTCACTTTCTAATCCTCTCTCAGTCCTCTCCACGCCTCAGCTCTTCACTGTACTCTCTCTATATTTGCCGTATAATGTCATTCGTTCCCCTTTGTTTTCACCAATTTAAAATGAATAAATGTACGTGGTTTCTGGTTCCGAGCAGGATAAATGGTGGATACCGGAGTAAGTTATTGAGAAGTTCGGGGTTGATTCTCAAGAGGCATGCTGTAGATGGATACAATTGTGCTGGTTCCCGTTGCTGCTGCAGTGTCTCGCTCGCGCAACCTGTTGCTCCCGAGGTTTCTTCGACGCCAGTAAAGTAATTTCCATTTTTTAGGTGTTTGATTCCTCATTTATCAATGTGAATCGTTTGAATATTGGTTGAAGTTTATTTAGTCTTGCATTTTTTATAATCTGCTGGTATAAACGAAATTACTTTCTTGTAGAAAGGTGCTTGGAAGTCTTATTGTTTGTTCACTACTGAATGCTATAACTAGGTTACTTCTCTGCTTTAGAGGAATGTTTCATCGATGAATAGCTTACAATTATGGGACGTAGATCAATTGAATCACTCTGTGCTTGTGTTGGCCTTACTTATTAGGGGTTTTAGGTCCCATTTGTTGGTGATAGTGGGTAACAGGTAGGCATGTGGATGGTATGGTTTGAAAAACATGTTTGGCCTTTAGTTATTTTTTTAATCTTTTGCCTTCTTTTTTAATTTCATTATGTCCATGCTTAATTGAGATAATCCTTTGGTTACAGGAAGAGAGTAGTGTCTGGTGTCCAGCCTACAGGGTCTATTCACCTCGGGAATTATCTTGGTGCAATAAAAAATTGGATAGCTCTTCAGGTGGTTTATTGTTTTTTTTTTCCCTCGTGGCATAGTGTTTTAAGTAGAATTATTTCTTATCTAAAGGATATTGTCATTCAGTTTACCAACTATTAGCAACTCAACCTAAATTTTATAGACTTTAATGTCAGTTTTGCTATTTCTTTATAAATTATATATTATGGATGTTTCTGTAAAACCAAGTTACCAAGTCAGTTCCAATGAAAAGAAAACTTACAAGTCATTTGAGGAGTTCAACTCATTGCAGATCTCATTTGAGATGGTTCAATTAAGTTGTGGTTTGGGATGAAAACAGGATGGAAGCACATCAAATGGTTTTGAAATAGTTATCTTGGTTGTTTACTGCACATTGATTAATCAAAATTTTCAGTAAGCTTGTACGATTTTGATGCCTATTGTACTTTTCTAATTTGCAGAGTGCATATGAGACTCTCTTTTTTATTGTGGACCTTCATGCGGTATGTTGTTTGAGTTGTTGTTGGCATTCATATGATTCTGAAATTCTTTTTTTTGATACATTTTTCTTATTTTATGGTATTTCTTGTGAAAATTGTCTCTCTCTCTCTCTCTCTCTCTCTACTGATTACTGCACTTCTCTTGATCCATAGATTACTTTACCTTATGATACACAAAAGCTTTTGAAGGCAACCAGGGATACAGCTGCAATATATTTGGCATGTGGTGTAGACACCTCAAAGGTTCTCTGCAGTTATTGGTTTTCTATGATGTCCTTTAATCAATAGGCATACTAGATATTTACTTCTTTTTTTTTAAATAGTCATGCTAGACATTCATAACTCCAAATTTCTGAGATATTTGATTTGGATATGCAGGCTTGTGTATTTGTGCAGTCTCATGTCCGTGCCCATGTAGAATTAATGTGGCTTCTAAGCTCATCTACACCTATTGGTTGGTTGAATCGAATGATTCAGTTCAAAGAAAAATCTCGCAAGGCGGTATGTTTGTCATTGCATGAGAGCTTCTTGTCCATTTAGCATTGCATTTGATTTAGATTTTGCATCATGACCTCTAGTGATTTTATAAACTTTCAACTATTGATATAGAGTGAAATAACTTATCTTTGGTAAAGCCTCCTCAAAGTGCTCCAGTGCTGAAACACTTAGTCACTCGTCCTTGAGGACTTGAAGGAGATCTTCGTTGCACTTATTATAATTGAAAGAAAATACTAATGTTTTTATCGTGGATTATGGTGCAAGCTAAAAGATCATGTTTATCAGTTTCAAGTGCAATAAAAGCTAATACATTTTATCTATAATACATGATTAGATTTGTTTGACATTATTGCTTCTTCGTAATGAATTTGATATTCGCTTCCAATGGTCCTAGATAACCATAGTTTTTCAATGAATCGCAGAATGATTGTGTTATCCTGATGTTGGTTTTGCAGGGGGATGAAAATGTTGGTGTGGCTCTTTTAACGTATCCAGTCCTCATGGCTTCTGATATTCTTTTATACCAGGTGTTGATCAAAATTGAAACTATTATTATACTTGATATGGAAATTTCTTCATAAGATTTTGTCACTAAAATATTTATATTTGCTTATTGCTTTTCACAAATGCATAAACTGATTTTGAGTTGATAACTACTATGAATATTCATGATTCTTATAAACTGCAGCATGCATCTGCAGTCTGACTTTGTTCCAGTTGGTGAGGATCAGAAGCAGCATTTAGAGTTGACTCGTGAACTGGCTGATCGTATTAATTATTTATATGGTGGAAGAAAGTGGAAAAAACTGGGCGGGTAAGGAGTTATATCAGTTGCAGATATAGAATATTGAGTCAAACATTGCAAAAATTATCATTTAGTATAACTTTCTTTTCTTCTTATGCTAGTCTAGTTTGAAGAATTAACACTTAAATACTGTATTATGATTGCAGACGTGGTGGTTCTATTTTTAAGGTGAAATCTTTTTTTCTCTATGACTAATTGACATCTTTCATCTAATCTTTCAAGTTTTACAAGTGATGGAAACTCTTTATTGACAGCATGTTATACTTTAGGTTCCTGAGCCTCTTATTTCACCAGCAGGAGCAAGAGTTATGTCTCTCACTGATGGTCTTTCCAAGGTTTCATCATTTCTGAAGTTTGACCATAAAAGTTTTAAATTTTCTATGCAATGCATGGACATGAGAAACTGAAGTTTTTTTGTTTCAATAGCTTAATGTTTTCCCAACCTTTTGTGTCAGTACTTAGTTTTTTGATAGAAATAGAAATAATTAAGAAAGAGAAAGAGTCAATGCGAGAATAATGGATAAAATATCACATCAAAAGGATGCTAGTGAAAACAAAATAACATAAATAACACATGGAACATGATGAAATCATGAGTCATCACGTATTATTACTTCTCAATTTCTATGAATCTCAGATAATTTTCCATGTGCTTGGCCTACAAGGAAGCTGAAAAAGTCATATCTTTTCCATAACATATCAACCGGGAAAGATCAATTATTAAATATTTGATGGTTTCTTTACAACCAAATTGTCTATAGACATGCGAATATGGTTACATTATTTTGCATCTCTCTTGCATATGTACCAGCCATTATGAATATTCTTCCCCTCCTAATCAGCTTATCCAAGGTTAAGATGCAATCTCTACTAACCTGCCAAATAAAAAGGGCCACTCTGGATGTTGCCTAAGGGTGAGCAAACAGTCGGTTCAGTTGGTTCAGTTAAAAAATTTATGTGATGTGCTGTAACAGTGAAGAGACACACAATCATCTCTTCCTTCATCGTAAGACAACATGGAAATTATGGAGTAAGCTTCATGGCGCTTTCAATATTTTTTTGGCTACCCCTCCTTCACTGGAATACTTTCTTAGTTCAAGCGTTGGTGGGGTTGGGATATGAGTGAAGAGTAGACCATTATTGAAAGGAGCACTTTTTACAGGCTTAGTGGATGATTTGGTTTGAAAGAAATCATCAAATATTCAATAATCGTTCTTTTTGGACTCGATCCTTTGGGAGAAGACAACCTTCTTGGCTTTCCTTTGGGCTAAGACTCATGGGAATTACTTGGATATCTCCCTCTCTGTTTTACATAGGAGTTGGGAAGCTATGGTCAAGTTACATGCTTTTGGTTTTGTATTGTTTGTTTTGTTGTAATTCGCCTTTTATTTTGTTTTCTTTTCCATCTTTCCTCAGCTGGATAACTTGTCCGCTGTACTTTTTGTAATAGTCTTGTCTTTTCTCAATAATTCTTCTTCTATCTAAGAAAATGACATTTTTGACCTCCCTATGGATTAAGACGTGAAAAGCTTTTTGGTGTCTCTCTTACTTCCTCCATAGAAGCTGAGATGCAATAATCATGTGTAACCCGAGGAAGCTTTTTGTTTTTGACCTTTTAATGCTTTTTGATGTTACTTTATGTTGTTTTTTACTAGCTAAAGAATCAGTAGGATGTCTCATCCTCTGTCCTTGGAACGTCTCTCCCTTAATTTTGATAGTAGTTCTTTTCCTATAGAATTCTTTTTTTCAATGATTAAATTATTTACAAAAATTAAAAATATTGTAATTAATGTCAAACCATAAAGTTAATTTTGATTTGGTTAGTTGATAGTTATTTTTATTAAATTGATGAAGCTGGCCTGCCAACATCACCACATTAGCTCACTTGTTTCAAGTAAAAATATTATTGCCATTGCCTGTTGTCACTTTTGAGAAGGAGAGGGTTGGGGATGGGATTCAGGGAAGGGGTGTCTGGAGACTCGTTAGAGAGCGGTTCTAAGAGAAGTTGAGATTTTATTTTGTTCTTCTTTTGAGGAAAACCTTGTTACATGGTTTGGTAGGTAAGGAAATGGTTCCACCAAAAAGTGATCTTGTGTTGTCCAGTTTCTGTACTTTTGTTACCAAACAGAACTAAGAACTTGTCTTGTCTAGTCTCATTAAAAGAGAGCTTCTAAACGTCAACTCAGTTTAATATGTTACTGCTATATGCTCCTTTTCTTGTTTTCTTTGAGGGCTTATATTGTATATCTTGATAAGAAGAGAGGCTATAGGTAGTTATTTTTTTTAATGATGGCAAATGTGGTAGTAATTTACCTGGAATTGAATTGAAATGACATGACCATTCAGCCTAAAAGCCTTGGTTGGATAGAGATGGTTGCTTAATTATTTATAACTGTTTTTGCAGTATTTGCTGAAAGGAGCTTTCTATTGACTACTAATTCTTCTGTTTTTCAATCGTTTAGATGTCCAAGTCGGCACCTTCTGATCAATCTAGAATTAATCTTCTAGACACAAAGGATGTAAGTAGATCTTCTTTACGTGCGTCATGTCTTCATTTCTAAGCACTTCTCTTTTCCTTTACTTATTTACTTTGTTAATGCACTGGGAAATTTATTCATTGGAAAAGAGAAATTCAATGTGAATTTTTTGAGATAAGAAAATGCATATGTAGATTTTACAGTTAATGCTATTAAATCTGTTGAAAATGATGGTAGACAGGTCTTCTAAAGTTGCATTCTTCTGTTCCCATGTTTGATTATTGCCTTTAGGTTACTCGGTAGAGTTACCTGTTACTTTCAACTTTGAATCAATGCAAAATGAATTAACTGGTTGATGCTTTAATTGTAGAGCAAAAGTTTTCTGGACAATGAATATTTAGTTGGATTGAACTGTCCTTTGCCTGCTTTAGTTGCAAAGAGGAAATAAAGGACGTATCAGTATGAGGTGGGCATAGGAGGTGGCAGAGTTGATACAAGCATAATTAGAGGTATTTAACATTGTTACATTAAAGTGACTAGAGAAGATGCTAAGCTGCATATCCTCTGATTGAACAAATTAATAAGCCCTTAGAAAGGATAGTTGATACACGCATATCCTCTGATTAAAGTGACTAGAGGAGATGACCAAAATTAGGAATAGATGGCTACGTTGCTTTGGGTCTTTGATATTAGGACATAATATTTACAGGTTGGCAGATTTTGGGAATGTTATGAATATACTAACTGATTTATAAATATTTTTGTAAGTGGGTGACATCCCCTTGGTGCTGGTGATTTGATATACTTGGCGTAATTTTTATTTAAAAAAAAATCAAGCCTTAGAAAAATCTAGAAGTATCCAAACTTTCTGAAACATGTGCGGGGAGTTATTAGATGTGAATTCAGAAGAAGCCAAGAATGAGTATCTTGGGCTTTTCAAGAATGTTGTTCACTGTCTAGATAATATTCTGACCAAGAGATTTTGGC